CAGGTGCTGGGACTGAGCAACGGGAGCTCACCCCATTGCGGGGATTCGAACCTCCAACCTTCTGATCGGCAAGCCCAAGAGGCTCAGTGGTTTAGACCACATCGCCACCGAAGCAAATAAAACTGTGAGCAAAATGCCCCAGCCCCATTTTTGCCACAAAGTGAAAGGAAACTGACAACTCCCTCAAGCTTCCGCTACCCCTGCAATTTGGAATCCGATTATTCTGCCTGTTCACACAGCCTGCCAGTCCCTTCTCCAGCTCATGTCAGGTGGGTGGGTTTGCTTTGTGTTACTTATTCCTTATTTTACTCCATGATTCGGCAGTTCTAGGATTTCACAAGAGCGCAGCAGTGCAAATATTGTCTTTGAAAAGACTGTCATTGGGTGTAACACAGGCCAGGCTACTCTCCACTGAAGGCACCACCCCTCCCCACCCCTGGGGTCTTACGTTTCTGGTTGCTGTACTACCCTTGCCCTTCATAGCTGCTTAAATCTGGCTGGGAGGGCATGACTGGGTGGATTCTGGGTGCAGTGAACAGGTCTCTGCATGAGGGGGTGGTGGCAACCATCTTGATGGAGGCAATAGTGTGGCCATTACTGAAAAAAACTACCCTCGACCTGATGGCATTTTACAACTACCACCCTTTTGGTAGTTGGCATGGCTGTGGCAATGCAGCTACATGCATTCCTGGGGAAAGCTGATTCTTCAGAATAAAAGGTAAGGGTACCCCTGCCCGTACGGGCCAGTCTTGCCAGACTCTAGGGTTGTGCGCCCATCTCACTCCAGAGGCCGGGGGCCAGCGCTGTCCGGAGACACTTCCGGGTCACGTGGCCAGCGTGACATCGCTGCTCTGGCGAGCCAGAGCCGCACACGGAAACACTGTTTACCTTCCCGCTAGTAAGCGGTCCCTATTTATCTACTTGCACCCGGGAGTGCTTTCGAACTGCTAGGTTGGCAGGCGCTGGGACCGAACAACGGGAGTGCACCCCGCCATGGGGATTCGAACCGCCGACCCTTCGATCGGCAAGCCCTAGGCACTGAGGCTTTTACCCACAGCGCCACCCGTGTCCCTATTCTTCAGAATACATTCATCCAAAGCCACCACTCATTCCTGAGTTTGTTTAATCAAAATTGTCTGGTAATATTTTAATTTTCTGCAGCCACCGGGATAATTCCAGTGCGACTCTGTGTAATATACTTTCATCTGAACCGTGTTCATTAATTTGTGTTTTATCCGTCTTCTTTTTTTTTTAAAGACCATTAACAAAGTTCTCTAGTAAAAGCAGACAGAATGTTGAAACCTGCTGTGCTTAGCAGAACCCTTTCGCCAGCTCTGCGTGCTGCTCTTTATCAGTCCTTCAGGCAGGCTTCAGTTCACTCACGAATTTCCCCATCCATCTCAATTTAAGATAACGCTGGCAGAAAATTGTCATAAAACTAGTTCTCGAGGACTTTGCGAAAATATATAAATTTGTTTGAACAAGAGGCATTCCTCACAAATCTCTTATATTCATTGCTGGATTCATATCCCCCAGATAAGTGATTTCACTGAACATTGCTTCACCAAAATATAATTTACATTTACATAAAATTAATTGTCCTCATCTCTATCCTTCCCTTCTTTCTCATACCATGGCATGGCAGTGTGATATCCCTGCAAATATCACAGTATAATATTAGTCGGTTAATAACTATTCCAAGTTCATATGTGTATAAATATGCAGAGGCACTATCAGATGCAATCCTGCTCTAGCTGAGGATAACAGCAACACGTTCATTTATTTTAATGAAGTAGGATATAAAGCTCTTGTGTATATATTAGGGTTGTACAATATTTTCATTGGGTTTCCCCTAACGTTTCTGTATAAAAATTGACAGGAGCTAACAGGTAGAATTGTTAGATAGATTGGTAGTTTAATATTCTGGAAAATTGTTGATTGCATCAAAGATAGTTCATGACATTTACCCCTCCCCCCCCCAAAAAAAAAGCTCTGCTTTCAAACTTTCAACCAATAAAGTAATATGAACTAGAAATTCTATCACATGCTGTCAACTTAATGAGTAAGACACAGGGGGACTTGTATCAGATACAGGGGGGAAATGAAGTAAAACATCAGACAAGGGCAGGAGCATTGGTGAGATACGGGGGTGGGTGGGCAGATAAAAAAAATCAGCTGAGGGCAGGAGGAAGCCTCCAACAGTTAGTTACATGGAGGAAGGATCATCAACACATTGCTTGTGTTGAAGTGAGGTCAGTGCCACTGCAGAAATGCCTCTATACAATCTTTGCACTGCTATATCAACTTGCTAGAGGGCAACGCTGCTGACCTGCTCTCTGTGGAACTGTAGCATCGCCAGTATGGATAGCTGCAATATCTCCTAACCATCAGTTCAGCTGGAATCAACTGATCTAAGGGACTCGTAGGATTCCATAGCAATAAGGCTGCAAGGTGTGTTGCAGGACCAGCTGCAGGCTGCCTGAGGTGCTTGGGGAGTGGCCCAGCCCATGTGTCTCCTTGATAGCCAGTTTTGCCTTCTGACTACAAACCCTGACATAGAAACATAGAATTGTAGTGTTGGAAGGGACCCTGAGAGTCATCTAGTCCAACCCCCTGGCAAAGCAGGAATCCTGCCCATAGCTGTTTGCAGAGCCGTCTTTCCCATGGGGCTTAGTGGTGCATTGCGCCAGGGTGCCGGCCTCTCAGGAGCGCCCCAGCGAGTGGGGGACCTGCGCGGCTTTGCCGGTGGCCTCCCCTTTCCCTGCATGCCCTTCAGCTGTGCCCCACCAACCATAAGGTTGGCAGGCATGCAGCTTCCCTCCCAAGCCTCTGCAGGGATTGCTCTCCTCCCGAGGAGGCTTGGAAGGGGCGCAACTTCACTCCCAAGCCTCTGTGAGGATCGCTCTCCCGCAGTAGCATGGGGGAGAGTTGTGCCTCTCCCATGGCTGGCAGTGCGCAGCTATGGCCATCCCAACACTATCCGTGGTAATTTGGGGGTGCTGGCTGGATATTTGCACCCTGGCGCAGCATCTGCCCTGGCTGTTCGCACTGACCCACTGCACCCCCTGAGGATTGCTTGATGTTACATGATGGTATGTGATACAGTGGTTTTCAGTGATGCAGTAAAGCACAGGCCCAAAGTGGGAGTAAATAAGGGGGGCTGTTGGTTTTCTGTAACACATCTGCACTGTTAGTAAGTGATGCTCAATCCCTGGCGTCTCTGGATGCAGCCAGGAGAGAACCCTGTCTGCAATCCTGGACAGGTGCTGCCAATCAGTGTGGACAATACTGAGCTAGATGGACCCAATGGTCTTACTCAGTATGGCAGCTTCCTGTGTTCCTAGGCACTAGATATAAAAATATACCTGCACAGACAAGAGCCCATAAGAGTGACAGTACTTCCATAGCAGGCAGCCTTTCAGTTTTCTTTTTTCATTCTCATTATTTCCACTCTCACCTTGCGAGCTTCAGAACTCTTGCTGCAGTTTTGTGTGGCGGTTTTTAGCATGCAAAATATATTACATTTACTGGCATCACTCACAAATGAAAGGGCTGTAATTCGCAGCATGTCCCGCTTGTTTATAATGCAAGGAGGGTTTCTGCAGGGGATGCCAACCTCAGGTCTATGCCAGGGCCATCTGTTATTCACTGTAGTTCTCCAGGAAGTTATGACCCAGCATGAAGAATACACTGCGCATTTACATCAGATTCTCCTTCCCTTTCTCAAGCTGCCAAGGAGAAAGGGCAGCGCTCAACACATGCTAACCGTCATGATGGCTTTGACCTTCTCATCTTATCACATGGCTCATAGTCTGATCTTACTACCTGCCACAATGATTCTTGACAAGAAGACTCAAATAAAGGCAGTTTCAAGCCATATTTTGGCAGGCTGCGGAGAGATGTACATGAATTCGTGGACAGTAGCACAGCCAAATGCTTTCATTTACCATCAAAAACAGGGCATGTCCATAGCGAGCTCCTGTTTCTCATCGCTGAGCTCTTCTGATTTTCTGATTGCCCAATTATCCAAGTGCTATATAGCACACAGTCCAGATCTTTAGTACTTTGATGGTTTCAGTACAGTACAATGCAGATTTCATTTTCCGCTGCAGCATTTTAACAGCCAACTTTTCAGATTTTCACATAGATATAGGTTGTTAAGACCTTTAGGTCTCCCAGTATTAAGCACTCACAACTGTGTTCTCCCGCCCCCTACCCCTCCCAGAATGGATGGACTACAGCCTTAAGTAAGTTTAAATGCTTTACTTACAGTAATCAGAGGTCTCGCTCATGCATCATTCAGTGCTACAGCAGAAACAACACAGGTAAGGCATTCTTGGTTACAAAATACAGAAGTTGGCCTCAAACACAGAATCGGAAACTGGAGCCCCAACCTCAGACATCTTCTCAGTTACATGGTTCAGAGAGGAGAGAGGGGAAGGAAGGAAAGAAGGAAGGAGAAACAAACCTTACTCCTTTCCTCCCTGAGGGTGAGGGGTTGTGACCTAGCCATGCCTTTTCTAGAAATTTACAGCTCTGTGGTCCTTAATTCCTTCATTTCCTAATGAATGGGTTAGATATGCATTGCTAGGCTTGACTGCAAAATCTCCCAAAACTTCAGCACACATCTGAAAAAGATCTCCATCAACTTACCCTCAAAGTACTATAGTTTAGGTTCTCTGAGTCAAGGTGCATGCTGGAATTTAACTTATATGAGTTCAATCCCAGTATTTCCATCAACACAGATATGCCCCAGTGCTAGTTAACATAACATAGTTATTGCTCTTGAACCACTTACTCTAGGGATGGGAAGCGTGTTGCCCTCCAGATGTTGTTGGTATACAGCTCCCATTATCCCTGACCACTGGACATGTTGGCTGGGACCAATGGAACTCCAACGACACCTGGAGGACCACAGGCTCCCCATACCTGACTGAATGAGTTTCTATATTTTATGTGCCCTCTAATTCTGCCTCCTTTTTCTTTCATTTGTTCTTCAGGGTAGTTTGTTCTCTGTCATCCATCTGTCTTAGAAGCACCTCGCACTGAGCTTTCAGCAAAATGGAAAGTGTGAGTGAACTCCAGAATCCCCTGTTGGCCAAGAATAATGGACACCTTCATGGCAGTTACAGTTACCACCAGGATTATCCTGGCCACCGTTGCCAGGGTAAACTGTACTCCTATATCTTCCAAAATTCTGGCAATGCGAGGACTCACCAACTGCTGGATGCCAGTTCTCTTCAGCTGGCTGTTGAAGCATTGTACGGCCCAAATTTCATCCTGGTGAAGGATGAGACCAGTGTCAAAGTCAAGGACAACAAAGGTGAGAGTTGTGAGACAGCCTTCATGGGAAACAAAGAGCATCCTGCTGAGGCCTCTGATGTGCAAGAAACCCAAGGGAGGTCCCTGATGGAAAATGACATCAAAATCCAGACAGTGTCCTATGAAGTGGAAGAAGAGGAATTGCAAGAATATGAGGTAAATTTTGGAGGCTGTGAACCTAGCTTGGGACTTATTTCTGAGTAATCATGCTTAGGACAGAGAAGTAAATATAGAAAATATAATAATTGTGATGTATGTACATGATAGTAGGAAGAACTGAGGTAAATGTTGCATGGGAACTTCTCACACCTGAGAGACAGCTTCCTCTATTTCTGAGGAATTAAGCCTGAGGGTTTAATGCAGGGGTGAGCAACTGTGGACTTAGGCTTCAGCCTAAGTTTAGGTGGCCCTCAGCCTGATTTCAAAAACCCTCTGCAAGCGATCAGTTCAGACCTCCTGGCAAGAGGAGAAAGGGGGGGAACCACGCCTTCTTTTGGTTCTGGCCCCACACATCACTGGCTTCAGCTGCACCCAGAGTTGGCATGCAGCCCCTGACAGATTACCTCAAAGAGAATGCCCCTCTCAAAAGAAAAAGGGTTTTCCACCATAATATAATACATTAAGAATAATATGACTAGAAATAATTATAGAGAGGTGTGTAGTTAGAATGAATTATTTTAATAAGCTTGTTTTAGGCTCACATCCAGAATTTCTAATCCATTTTAGCTCACAATTTATCAATTTTAGTTTTAATGCAAGCGAGGGACATTGCTAAAGATGAAAAACGGCCCTGTTTCACTGGCACTCAAGAAAAATAATTTTCCATGGAAATCCCAAATCCCCAGCTAGTGAGCTGAGAATTTAGCTTGAAAGAAAAACGATAATCTATTTCCATGCAGTGATTTCTGTTAGGATTTTGCCCCACGTCCGAGTGGCTGGAGAAGATGTGGTTTATTATATAAACTCTGCAAAGCCTTCCCCCCGCCCCTTCTTCTCCTGTGTGAAACTGTTAAGAAGGAGGACAGAATATGTGAAAGTAGAGCTGAAAAGAAGAAGGTCAAATGAGAGAGCGGGGAGTGAGGGAAGACTGTAAAATACTTAACGAGAGGAAGAGTAGGAGGGTGAAAAATGCTACTTAAATGCCATGGTGGCGATAGATGTCCTAGAAATATTATATCAAGACGACGTTGGCAGAAGCAGCTTTCGGTCGGGGAAGAGAGAAATCAGTAGGACGCCTATTGCTTCGCATCAAGGGTTGGAGCTGACAGCAGTGAGTGGGGGCTTCTAACACGGTTTCTGTTATTATTATCATCACTCCAGCATCATCACTGTTATTATTATATTGCAGCTTTCTGGGTTACTATTTCACACTGAGTTATTTAATAACGAAAGTGTCCTTAAGCACACTTAACTTGAAAGCAACTTCCATTAAAATGAATGGAACTTTCTTCCAAGTGAATAAGCTTGGGATTGAGCTATAAAGCAACGGCAGCCGGCAGTATAGTACAAATCAAACAGTTGCAATTCTTTATCATCTGGTCCCAAGGTGGCACTTGGGAACGGCTTTCTTTATCGGAAGAGATGCCTCTTGTTGAGGCATCGCCTCCGACATTATCAGGAAGTAGCTCCAGAAGGGATAGGACACACACACAAAACCCAGATGTTTATTCCATTTTACTATAAAAATATGCCGGTATCTCCGTTGATTTAAATTGACAAGTCTTGGTGTTTCAGTTTTTCAGAAATAATCTAAAAGGTATTCAAGACTCGTCTCCCATTCTTAATACAGTGGTGCCTCGCAAGACGAAATTAATTCGTTCCGTGAGTTTTTTCGTCTTGCGATTTTTTCGTCTTGCGAAGCACGGTTTCGGAAAAGTTTTGGAAAAGCTTCAAAAATCACCAAAGTCTTCAAAAACCTCAAAAAAGGCTACCACACCGCGTGCTATGAGTTGCTCCTCGAAGTCAAGTCGCAACTGTATTAACGGTGTTAAGAAAAAGGAAACAAACTTGCAAGACGTTTCCGTCTTGCGAAGCAAGCCCATAGGGAAAATCGTCTTGCGAAGCAGCTCAAAAAACAAAAAAACCCTTTCGTCTTGCGAGTTTTCCGTCTTGCGAGACATTCGTCTTGCGAGGTACCACTGTACTGGGGATCTCCCTGGTAGTATCAATAGTAACTGTATCCTTTCTATGGCAATTTGGTAATATAGCAACCATCCTTTAATCTCAGAACTTCTCTATGTCACCTTGTCAGTCTAAATCTGGGGCCCTCAACATGGTCTGATGGACACATTAGCACCCTCAGGCACACACCCCTTGGCACCCATCAAGGCACCTTGCCACTCTCATTTTTTACTGTTTCTTTTAAATGGGGTGTTGGGATGGTGGTTGGGGGTTTGCCTGTTTTTTTTCTAGGGGGTGTAGCTTTCTTTCTTTGGATGCTGTTCTTCTAACTTGTTTTATCAATGCAAGGATTTCCACTTGTGCAATGGAACTGCACCCCCCGCACACGCGCATGCCTTGTATGGTACCCTTCCCAAATCTGCTCCAGAGGTTTTGGAGGAAACCCAGAACAGATTTAGGGAGTCCACAGGAGAGGAGAAGTGGGGAATTCAGTTGCACTTGTGGAAATCCTTGCTTTGGTGGTACGAATGGATATTGTTCCGTGGTGGCGGGGTGAGTTGGGGAGGATAAATGTTTTGGAATGGGATATTTTGTGGCGTCCACAATAGTTTCTTAAACCCCAGTGTGGTGTAGTGGTTAAGAGCGGTAGTCACATAATCTGGGGAACCGGGTTCGTGTCTCCGCTCCTCCACATGCAGCTGCTGGGTGACCTTGGGCCAGTCACACTTCTCTCAGCCTCTCTAACCTCATAGAGTGTTTGTTGTGGGGGAGAAAGGGAAAGGAGATTGTTAGCCACTTTGAGACTCCTGAAGGGGAGTGAAAGGCGGGATAGCAAATCCAAACTCTTCTTCTTCTTCTTCTAATTTTGCTTCTGGGCCCAAAAAGGTTGAGGACCCCATGCCTACATATTCCATTACTCTTTTGATTCATAGCTGGGTAGTTAAAGTACTAGTAATTTCCATTTGCAGGATTGACACAGCCAGACTTAATTGTCAATCTTAGTAATTCCCATAGTCATTCAGGGAATGTGACAGATTCAAATTCTCAATAGTCTTACCTTCGAAAAGCCCATTAGAATTAATGGTCCCTTCTGAAACAAGTGATTTGAGGACATCTTTGTTGAGTTGTCATAATGCGGATACCAGCTTCCTCTAGGGTTCCTATTTAACCATCCATCTTATTTATCCAGCTCAATTATGTTTGTATGGATTATTTGTTTTGAGTTCCAAGTGCATTCGTCAGTTGCACATTTTTTTGATGTTGTGTTTTAGGATAAGCATGTTGTAAGACAAGATACATATAGACATATGGAAGAATGCCAGTAATGCATAGATTGCTGAAAAGCACATGTTTCTTACTCCCAATAGTCTCACTGAAGTCCTACTGAGGTCTATGAAATACCTGCCAGACCACTCCAGATTAAATGGTTTGTGGACTGAAGCCAAGAAGATTATTCTCAATCAGCATACTAAGCAGTACATCTGCTGCCTAATAGACATCAAGTATTTTCAGTCTGAAGACGGGGAAGTATGGTGATGATTGAGGTGGTGCCCTGTATATCATCTCTGTTGGACACCCAGTTCCCAAAAGATCATTCATATTAGCCGCTGTTCCTTGGCAGATAAACATCCTAGCTCATAGAGGCTGACTCTGTATCGCTTGAATGTGTGATGGACTCGTCCCGCCAACACTCCCATCACAGCGCTTCCTGCCCCATGAAGTTCATCTGCCTGCTGCTGTATATCAGGAGAGAAAGTGTTGTCACAGCAGCAACATCAAACATGTGTAGTGTAAATTGGTTACATGTTCTGCTGCTGCTGAATACTCTGTGGGTCAGACTTACAGTGTGCCATTGCCTTGATTTGCTTTCCAGAGTGACTCCTCCAGTGACAGCGAGAGTGAAGATCATTTTCTGATGCTTCCCCCACGAGACCACCTGGGCTTGGCAATTTTTTCAATGCTCTGTTGTTTCTGGCCTCTGGGAATTGCTGCTTTCTACTTTTCTCAAGGGGTAAGAATTTGCGTGTGCTGATGTTTCCTGCTATGTACTGTGTTCTTCTTGTCTTAGGGAACTATTTTATAAAAGGCCTGTCAGGGCTCAATTCACTACTGTGCCAAGTATATTGCAGTCCCACGCGACTAGGACCCCCTGCTAACATGAAATTATCTGGGAAGTTGCTGGGATGTGGAGTGTGTGTGTGTGTGTGTGTGTGTGTGTGTGTGTCTAGCTACCTAGTGCCAACCCCAAACATGTTGGTGCTTGATGGAATAAATGCAAATGTCACTCCATATTTTACTAAAAATTTCCACCACAGGGAAATTTTTGCCACCATTCATCCCTCACCTCCCCCTTTAATGCTACCCCCAAATCTGTCCTCATTCTATCAAATGATAGGGCTGTTCTTGTATCAGGCTCAAAACAGTGCTTGGATCCTCATCACATGGCAAAGCAGCAGCGTCCATGTTGTCACGAAGCCGACATGATTTGCTCTCTGCATTGCAACATATTTCAAGTGTGAATTATGGGAGTGCATGGGTGCGTGGCTTTATGTGTGAAAGTCACGTGGGACTCAACCGAAAACTCCTAATAGGATCAACTGCTCTTTAAAGCAACACTGAAACCTCACAAGGTAACTGTAAGCACTGCTATTCCCAACCTGTAAGAAAAGAAGCTGAACTATCCAAAAGGGAAGATGGATCGGACTGTTGTACAGTGGTACTTTGTGTTACGGACGGGATCCATTCCGGAAGCCTGTCCATAACCTGAAATGCCCGCAACTTGAAGCACTATGTCTGTTCAGGTGCGCGGTGCGATTTGGCGCGCATGCGCGAAGTGCGGTTTAGCATTTCTGCGCATGCGCAAGCGGCGAAACCCGGAAGTAACACATTCCAGTACTTCCAGGTTGCCACGGGACGTAACGCAAAAGTACGCAACACGAGGTATGACTGTACATTGAATAGCTGTACAAAAAAGAGTTTTGGGCAAGTACAGCCTTTCCACTTTTATTCACAGGCTAAATTTTCTATACTGTCAACATTTTTTTAAAAAATAATGGCAGTAAGCAGCATAAAATCAATCATGAAACTACATTTGTAAAACAAGGCCACTGTGAGAACAAGATACTGGACTCGATGAGGCACTGGGCTAGTCTAGCAGGCTTAAAAGACATCACAAATCTCTAGATAACATTAATACATCAATGAAGCTGGATCACCGCTAAAGGAAAGGTGAACAGAAGAGTTTGAAACAAGTGCCTTAATGTCAATACTGTAGGTGCTTACCTGATGCTCCCTGGAAGCACATTCCAAAGGGTAGGTGCCACCACACTAAAGGCCCTGTTTTTAGTGAGCATAAGACAAACTTGAGGAGCATATAGCATACAGCACTAGTAAAGTGTGTCTCCCCCAAGGATTAAATTGGCCAGGCAAGATATGGTATTCCCAGAAATAACCCATTGCTCAGGGCTTTATATACCCATAGCAAAACCTTAAAGTTGCCCTAGTAATGTAGTGGTAGATAGTGCAGATCTTCCAGCACAGGCGTTACAAAGAACACCCACTTCAGCAGCCTTGCTGCACTATGGCATCATCGCAAACATATATCTGCTGATCATCCCTCTTCTAACTGTTAAAGGTTACAGGAGCCCACTCTCCTTTTGCTTCTGGCCGCTCTCCTTGTAAATGAAACACCTGTTTCTGCATTTTATGTTGTTAAAGGATATATAGCCTGCCGTCTGACAAACTGTCAGAGTAACTTAAATAAAGTGTAATCCAGCAAAGTACAGTCTACTCAGAAGGTAAACCTGAACTTCAATCACGTATCCGAATGGAGAGAAGGATGGAGAACATTACATTCAGGAAGGGAGCAGGGCAGACAGAGAACTCCACATACAACCAAGCACATTTAACAGCCACCATCTCAGGAGAATTTATTTTCACTGTTCCCGGCACACACACAAAATGCTATTCCTTAAGCATTATTTTTGGCCATATATCAATCCTCTGCTACATCACTCCAGCCACAGAATGACAAAGCTCTGTGACAGATGGCCAGGTGTCTTCAACATGGTCAGTGAAAACTTGTCAGCAGCAGTGGTGCTCTGGCAGGGGCACAGCTCTGGGCCTTTTTTCACAGCAGGAGCAATGACATCATCCCCAGAGCGCCAGGGCAATTGATTGACTTTCCTTGCTCTGGGAAGAGAATGAGGTGATGGTGAGCCTTTCAAGTTTTACATTTGACAACTTAGCAGTAAAGAAATCAGAGAATAATCATGCAGAGGCTCTAAAATTCTTTTTGATGGGGTTCCTATTTCATACCAATGGTTTAAGTGGTATAATTTCCTTGCAAGATTTTCTAATTAAAAGCTAAATGTTGCACTTCAGCTGTCTCAGTGTGTTTTACAAGTTATTAAAACTCATTGTGTTTTACAAGCTGAATCTCTATGGTCAGAAATAAGCATCAGTGAGTTCATTGGAGCTTATTTCTGAGAAACTATGCATGGAATTGCAGTCATGCTACAGAGAATAGTAAGATGGGTTATCTTGTCTTAAGTCTAGCTAGGAACCTGCAGAAGCACACAGCCTTGTGAGTATGGGGCAGTGGTGGGGACCTGTGGCCCTCCAGAAGTTGTTGGACTCCAACTCCCATCAGCCCCAGCTAACATGGCCAGTGAACAAGGATGCTGGGAACTGCGGTTGAATAACATATGGAGGGCCACAAGCTTCCTATCCCTGCTGTAAGGGCAGTCATAATGAGCTGCTGTTCTTCAAATTTACCGCTACACCATATTTCAAATACCACCTCACCAGTGATTTACACCATGATATCAAATTTCCCTGTATTAGTCAAGAAAGGAAAGAAACCTGCCAAACACATCCCAAAAATACCGTAGCTTGTAAATCACATTATGATTATCCAATATTCAAAGTCTTTCTTCCTCTCACCTTTCAAGTCTCAAAGCTGACAATCTAGCCACCCTGGCTATACTCACTACAATAGATGTGCAGGACATACAACTGCTTAAATAAACAAAAATATTGTCCCCCAAACTTTGTATTTATGAATTGAAATGGCAATTCTATTATTCTTTTTTACCCTACATCATCACCCAATTCTTCCTGCTCTGACAATGCTCTGGTGAGCTTGGTCTCATTCACAAATTTCCGACCAGTAACCTCCTTGTTTTTCTCCTCAGGATCCATAATGAATAGGGAATGTGTCTCCCAGTAGTGACTGCAGAGGAAGTTCACTATGTTTAGGAAGCTGCCCTATACCAATTCAGACCATTTGTGGGGGCATCTAGACTCAGTATCACCCTTGACTGAGGGACACGGGTGGCACTGTGGTCTAAACCACGGGGTCTCTTGGGCTTGCCGATCGGAAAGTCAGCAGTTCAAATCCCCGCAACGGGGTAAGCTCCCGTTGCTCTGCCGCCAGCTCCTGCCAACCTAGCAGTTCAAAAGCATGCCAGTGCAAGTAGATAAATAGGTACCACTGTGGTGGGAAGGTAAATGCGTTTCCGTGTCATGGTGTTCTGTTGCACCAGAAGCAGTTTAGTCATGCTGACCACATGACCCAGAAAGCTGTCTGTGGACAAACGCCGGCTCCCTCGGCCTGAAAGCGAGATGAATGCTGCAATCCCATAGTCACCTTTGACTGGACTTAACCCATCCAGGGGTCCCTACCTTACAAACAGTGGCTCACCAGAATTTCCTTTCCCCCAGTCCTTCTTGGAGATGCCAGGGATTGACTTTCTTGCATGCAAAGCAAATGCCATGGGCCTTCCCCACCCCTCCAGATTGAACACTTGCCTTCACATTCAGCACAACTCTTTGTCTATTCCCCTTTTCTACCCATCCTTTCCAGTTTAAGCAGTCAAATCCCTTTGCTTGGCTGAGATCCAAATCAATTATATCAACTACATTTTCCTAGTACTGTAACTCGTCTCTGTAGAGAGCGCTAAGAAACCTGTGGCTCTCGTAAGATGTTGCTAGACTCCATTATCCCTGAACACTGGCGATGCTAGCTGGGGTTCTTAGAAGATGGAGTCCACAAGTATCTGGTTGGCTACAAGTATCCCTGTCTCCACTGTAGAGGAAGTATTTTAGAAGACTGTCCATTACATGATTATACCAGTTACAGATAGGTAGCCGTGTTGGTCTGCCATAGCCAAAACAAAAAAATTCCTTCCAGTAGCACCTTAAAGACCAACTAAGTTAGTTCTTGGTATGAGCTTTCGTGTGCATGCACACTTCTTCAGAACTTCTTCATCTGAAGAAGTGTGCATGCACACGAAAGCTCATACCAAGAACTAACTTAGTTGGTCTTTAAGGTGCTACTGGAAGGTATGATTATACCAGTGGTTCTCTGCTGACCTCTGTTGCGCTACATTGTAATCAAACTCACCCAACAGAAGTCAGATTCAGAATGAGCAAGATGTGAATAAAATATTATTTGTGTGTTTCAATAAAGACTCATTTACAGCTCACTTTTATTTTACTTATAGGATTTCTACCATCATCTTACCACATCTAGCTTCAAGGCAGCTTACAATACAAAATTAAAACTTTTTTATTATTTTTTTAAAAAATCAATAAAAACAATAAAAACAGCAGGAGAAAATAACACAGCTAAAAAGCTAGTGGGTAAAATGAATTAAAATAGGGTGCCTATTGTAGTGGCTTCTAGATCTTACTGGACTCCAGCTTACATCAGCCCCAGCCAGTATGGCGAAAGATGACAGCAGTAGCGCAACAACTTCTGGAGGTCACTGTGGCAAAGCTATGCCTTGCCCTAATCTGTTCCCTTACGATACTCAAGTTCTCTAGACCTCCATCACATCCCTAGTCCAATGCAGAAGCTGAGGA